TCTTTCCCTTATTTTCTTATTTCTCATTCATGCAGTCAGGTGTCTGTTTTGGAGAGGAGTAGACTGATGCGATGAATTAGTGCTATACATTCTTGGTGTCCTGTGCCTGAGCAACTTTTCTCCTTAGAGGTCCTGAGAACTAACAAGTCCCCTTTGACTTCAAGCCCTCAGAGTACGAGGCAGGGAGATGGGAGGGCAGAAAAGAAAGAAGAGGGTGTTCTTATCACAGAGGTCAACAACCGGAAACTCTCATAACATAGTTGTTTGGTAATGATTGTGGGTATGGGTGATACCTTTTTTAAAGGGAGTAAACCTACTCTGACTGCCTCAGTGGCTGATCTGAGCGCATATGTAGTGTGGGTCAGGGGTGTGCATGCTTGTATTGTAGGGTATTGGCCTTCATATTCTTAGTCTCCTGTTGGTATTAGTCTATCCAGATTGCTGGTGACTCCAAAGATTCAGATTAATAAATGAAGGTTTTCAGGTGAAGTTTAATGAGAGGAAGTGACTCATGGCTTGGGTGGAGGGAGAGTGTTCCAGGCCAACAGTGAGTAAAACAGCAAACCCTTCACCCCAACTGTGAGTAGTGAGAAAGAGAGGAAGTGAAAATTAGGGAAGTGGAGTAAACTAACAGAAGAGGAGGTCATTAGGAGGTCAGAAAGGAGAGGTAGAGTACTATCCACCCTCTCAGATGAGCTGTAATGAGATCTCATTCCCATATGCCTTACAGGAGCAGCAGGGGTGTTAGCACTGATGTCTTAGCCAAATTCCAGCTTTGTGTCTGTGCCCATCTGGGCTAGATACAGATATTCAAAAAGTCTGAGGCAGAATCGATTTCAGTTACATGGTTTTCTGTAAGCAGTGTAGTTTAGATCCATAATGAACAGAATACATTTGTCCTTTGGTGGGTTGGGGGCGGGGAGGGTTGCAAATCTTAGATCAAGTTCCACCGGTTTTAAATCAGTCTGTGCGTGCCGAACTTCTGTTAGGGGTATAGACCGGTTTCCGATCACTTATACCGGGAAAAGTGTAATAATGTCTGTACCTGACCCTAAAGGACTCTTCACAGTTCTGATCAGTTATGGGATTTTTCACTTTCTGCTGCTGCTGGGTCATGTCCATCCACTGTTACCATTTCATGCTGATACATACTGTAGTTTTCATATCAGCTGAAGTGCATAGTGTGCTCTGGGGCCATTTTATGACACAAGACACAATGCAAGTTTGAGATCCTTATCCTCTCCGTACCATTAAAATTACCCAGGGATAATGTTATCCCTTCAGTTCTGAAGGCTCAGCATGGAGCAGGATTCAATCTTTACCCATCATTGGTCAAGTACATTCTTGTTCCCTACAAAAACATCTTAGCAAATGCCCTGAAGTGAATACAAGACCAGGATTTTTATGGTTCACGCCACTGGACTGATGCTGATTGATGCTCCGTGCTTGGGTAAAGGAAAGATAAAAATGCAATAATGAACTAATAGTTTTATGGAAAGAGAGCCTTTTTAGGAAGATCACGTTTCCTATCATGCATCATAAAACCTGATTGTTTTTCAGCAGTCACTCTATAATACATCATCAGTATCATCCCAAAAACTCATCAAAAACCATATCAAGGGCTGCTCCCCACCTCCCACGCCACGGGCATAGAACTGGAAACTGTGAAAGCAAAAAATCATGGGACTGAAATAAAAACAAAAAAGTCATGAGACTAGAGACTTAACAGCCATGTAAACTTCAGCTGGTCAGGATGACAAATGCGCCTAAAGCAAAAATACTGTACAAAGCAATGAGTGCGCTTACATGCCAGCACAGTAATGAGGAGCCTGTCTTTAGTTTAACAAGAATATCTGGGAGACTCTCTCACCCTGCACTGGCAGACACCTTTAAAATTATGCCCAAAATAGAAAGGAAGAAATGTCAGTAGTGATCGTTCAAAGAAATCCTACATACAGAGGCTACTGAAATGTTTTACATGAAAATTTATATTCAATTAAAAATGGCCTTTTCTTTACAAACAAACATTTTCTGTAATAAGGTGTCACACCAAATGCTCCAGTTTTCCACTAAAACTATGGAAAATGTTTTTAGGTTGGTTTTGCCTCCTTTTCTTTTTTTTCCCCTTTTTCTCTCATTGTTTCTATGCAAGAGAGGGGAGAGGGGAAAGCAGAGGCAGTTCAGGGAAATGTCTGGGTTCTGATTTAAGTCTTGTTTTTAAATAACAAAATATCAAGATTTTCCATGAAGGTTGGGGGGAATGCAAATTTTTGAGAAAACATATATTTTGGTAAATGAAGGTGAACTTGTATTTATTATAGGATAGGATCTGGTCAGAGGTGGCTACAGGTCAAGGTCTTTCTGAATAACTATATCACTTTATCAGTTTCCACCTCTCGATGCCCCTTTCTGCCCTCTGCCATCTAACCCACAATGGGGCTCTGGCTCCCTAGGTACCAAATGTATGCTTATAAAGATTTGGCAAGCCTTGCTCAGGAGCTGGTGAGAGTTTGCATGCAGACTAAGGGGTGAGTACCAGGATACATTGCAGATGTTCACCTTTAAGGTAAGGCTGGAGGATCTAATTTCAAAGCTCTTTAAGCATGAAGTAAGGACAGATTCTTGCCTTTTGATCTGAAGGAAAAAAACTATTTTGTATTTAGGATGGAATTCAATTGGGATCCAAGAGCCCCAAGCTCAAATCTTGGCTCCGCAACTGAGTTTTTATGTGACCTTTGCAAAGATTTTTAAGTCTCTCTGCCTTGGCTTCTCCCTTGTAAATTGGAAGTCACTGTGCCACTTACTGCAGGCTTGTTAGTCTCAGGGGGTGCTGAGTTCATCTGGGGCCTCCTATAAATGCAAATGATGCTGTGGATGGACCTGTGAACATAGTGCCACAGAATGTTGTGTTCTCAACCCAAGACAGCCTGTCTTTTCACTGCCCAAATGCTGGGCTTGTATGGGGAATGAGGTATATAGTGAGAGATCTACCCTGCAATAGCTTTCCCAACACAAAATCCCAGTGTAAAGAGGGCCCCTGTAATATGAGCCGTGACATGCAGGTCAACACTATTCTCTTCACCAAAGAGAAGGCAGGGTAGAGATGCACCAATTCCCTTCACCTAATTCACAGGGAGGTAGTTAGCTGTGTTACTTCAGAGTCAGGCAGAAAGCAGGGTGAAG